GGTCAGGTGACTAACTCCCGTCAATTTATTACCAGCTTCCGCGTTGATTGTTTGCTCGAGAGTCAAATCGACTGGGGCGCGTGCGTTTGACACCGAAAGCTCCTTGATGGAATTGCAACACCAATGGCTAATTTTCTGTTTTCAATCTAATTAAATTGGTTTAGTAAGCAACAAACCAATGAGCATAATTTGGCTGATTCATAATGAAGAACAAATCAGCCCTATCCGAGATCGAAGCTATATAAACATCTAAATTAGCACTTCTAATACTTCTCGAAAATATGTGATAAATGGAAATTAGCTCGACAAATTGGATGTAATACTGCGCAGTTTTACCCGAGAATAACGATCAAGGAGAAGCGACAGCTTGGTGTTTTTAGCGTACCGTTTTGTAACGCGCATGTGCGAAAATAAGTTGTGTATCACTCAAAATGATGTTATCTGTCAAAGTCAGTCCAAGTTGTGTTTAGTACGTGAGCAATGTTAAGTGATATTTTTTGGTGTTTGTTTTGTGTAGTAATAAGATGAAGATTTTTACACACTTAGGTATTCTAATGCAGATATAAAATGTTCCAAAAAAGTTATTAGGAAACTAAGAATTTTATCACATGCATAAATATAAAGTATAATAATTTAATCATTTTTGACATTTTATTTTTCATATGTAGGTATTGTATTTTGTGAAATATATGTTTACTTCTTTTAAATAAATTTAATAAACAATGAACTGGAGATTTTGTTTATTTTATTTGAAAATTATATTTAAAAAAATATAATAAATCCGCGTGTTTCAATTAGGATTGGTCAAAATGGGCGAAATCCCTTTATTATGGCTAAATTGTAAGGTACAATTATGTCAATATAAAGATGTTTTGCCCATTCATATTTACATTTATTGAATGAATCATACTTGAGTTGATTTTGGAAATATTGGTGCATACTTAAATAAGTACTATTTCAAAAAATTCGTCTATGCCCAGACAGCACATATAGTCCAATGTACGTCCACGTTGAGGGTCAAGACGTCCATATCCGGGAATCCAGTGTACGTCCGTTTATGCTAATTAAATTGACAGCTGAATATCGATACCCAGAGAACGTCTGTTTTTGGACTTAATTTTAAGTTTAGTAGTATTTTGACGTCCAGTGGACGTCCATCTTAGGTTATTGTTTATTAAGCCTACCAGATAATACTCATCTATAATATATACTTCTTTTTTTAATATAACAGGTCATTAAAAATTGACAATTTGAATCTATTGCATTTCATTCTATCAGCGGAAGTTTGAAATATTATTCAACTATAACTGTATCTAGTAAAAAGTTTTTAAGTGGTTCCTTGGTCGAGCTCGTCTAGTAATTGAAAGCGTAAAACGATAATGGATGTGTCGTGAGTTCGATTCGTGCTCAGGTCAAGCAATTTTTAATAAAAAAAAAAAAAAATGGTGTATAGCGGATTGCGAAAATAATAAACAAATTATTAATAATATAAAATAGTGTGTGGTAAGTTGCAGTTCTGTAAAAAAAGTGGGGATGTGGTCTCAATGGAAATATAATCCTGGACGTTTTTTGAATGTCCAGTATTCGACGTCCAAATATATTCCAGAATTGAACGTCCCCTGAATGGTCAAAAGTGTGACATTTATATACTTCACTGGACGTCCATTGGATGTCGGAAGTCCAGAAAATAGTTTATTACATTACGAGTGCGCAAGCCGAGTGCGACTATCACACGAGTGTGGAAAATCACTTTTCACAAAAGTATTTAAAAAAATAATCAACAATAATCGTATTTATTCAATTTTCATATTTTCTAAACATAAAAAAAAACTAAAAAGAAAATTCTGCCCCGCCAGGATTTGAACGCGGTCGAAAAATGGCAAAGTTGATAAGTTCGACGTCCTAACCACCTGAGCTAATAGCCCTTGTGTCAATTGAATGATCTAATCGGTTATGTATTTAACCACAATAAAGAGCAAACATTATTTTAAAATTATTTTAATAATAATTGTTAAAGATAAATATCTAGGATCTAATTTACAACAATTTTAATAATTTAACAATCATATCGATTTTAGTATTAATATGGACATTACATAGATCAAAATAGAAATTAGGTGTTTGACATTTTGTGACAACTACTGCGGAAAGTAACATATTCTCACTCGGGTGGAAAGTAAATTCTTATTCATACGCGTGTGATATAGGGCACTTTCCATAGGACTATATAGTGTGATATGTGTCACTTTCCTAAGTCTAGACATCCAAAATTGTATATCGAATGGACGTCCAATGGACATATTTGTATTGTCTGGGTGATAGCCAGACTAGGTATTTAACTCTAAATACATAAACTGTAAATGACATCTGGCTTAACTATGCGATAAAACACTTGTTTCTACAGAAATTGAAAGTCCTTTTAATATAATATAAATCCAGAAATTCTAAAAATATGTAAACCTAAAAGTTTTGAAAATATAAGCACATTGCAAATATTTAGTTAAATCTCTCAAACTAATGTCTTTTTAATTGTTACCTAAATTTTTTTGGCACCCTTTATTTTATTTACCTTATTTTTACTTAAGGAAAATGTAATTTAATTTAAAAATGGGGCTTTTATTACATTTTTAACAATAAATAAACCAATTATTGAAAAAATTTTATAAATAAATTATAAAATAATAAACGTCTTTTACTTTTATAACAAATAATTAATTATTACATTATGAATTATATTTTGGTGCCGAAATTTCACCATTGCTATTAACTCTAACTACTTCAAAGTAATTAAATCACATTACAACATTTGCGCATGGACTATAACAATGATTTCAGATAATTTGCCAAACTATTTCGCTCAGTGTAGAAAATATGCATGTTTTCTCAGCGTGCTAAGTTGTGTATCAATCAAAGTCATGCTGTGAAAAAGGTACATGTACGTGTGGAGAACGGGAGGATTTACAACATATTTTTTTTAATTGTCAAAATAATTTTTATAATATTTATACATTTTTAGATAGTTTAGATATTCCAAAAAATTTTATAAAACCTGTTATACTTTTTGATGTATTGTTTATACTTCTGTCTTTCGGTAATGTTAAAAAATATCAAAATTTATACAAATGTCTAAAATTAAGCTGTAAAATATTGTAATTATTTACCTGTTGTTACCAAATGGCTGTATCATCTTAGCTATGTAGGCCAATAAATTATAAAAATAAAAAAAATAAATAAAAAGGTACATTTCATATCAAAGGCACCGACAGCTACTGTCGCTTCTCCTTGATCGTTATTCTCGGGTTTTACCATGAATACCAGCCTAAGTCAACTCATGGAAATCTTGATATCGATTAACAGATGCAAATGAATCAGAAAGCGTAAGTGCTTCATTTGGTCCTGTTGGGTAATTTTTCAAGTGCAGTAGGTCCTAGGACATCTCTTGAAACTCAATATTTTCTTCGGAGAGAAAACGTTGCAGATGTAGTGTCTGTAAAGCAGCGCTTAGAAGGGAAAAATGCGTTTGTACCTGTTAAAGTGCTTGCAGCCCATGAAAATATTTACTGAGCCACCGGCAAGAACTTCAGATTGAACCAAAATGTCTATCAAACCGGAAGAAATGATGAATTTACTAATAGCATTGAAATAAGCCATGTGCATATAAAAAGCACCAAGATTTACAAAAATATGATCTAAATAAATGCTTTTTTCTTTTGTATTTGCATAGCGATCTTCGCTATAACGAGATCATAAGTAACGATTATTCGACTTTGATGGCATTTCTCGGCAATAGAACGTGTATAACAACAACGTCTCGTAAACTACATCGTATAAAGTGGGCGACGCATTAATAGGAGGCAAATAGTCTACTATCTGAGTATTGGATTCGTCGAATATCATTGTACAGTTATGACCAAGCCACATCGGCTCGGATGGATTCAAAAACAAAGACATTAACCACACCAGATCTTTTTCAGAAGCAATTTTCGTCAATTCCTTGCGAGTATCCAATCCAAAATTGTTGGCAAAGGGAGCAGTGAAATGGCAGAATTTGGTTTGGGATAATAACTCCTATTCTCGTTATCTAATATATTTCGAATTTTCTACGTTTTCTAGAAACTGGCGCATCATCTCAACTGTCAGAGTATTGTTGCAAAGGCGCTTGCTCAACATCTTGTGGAGTTGCGATAATTCTCGGTTTGTCCATTTGATAAATTATTCCGACCGTATCGTGTAAAGTGTTCTTGCCGCCGAAAGTATCTACATAACGATCGAAATTATCAAATGCTACGTAAGTGCAAAGACCGTCAATTGCACGAATACCCGGAGGAATCACAGAATTGTTTGCAAATTCCTTATTAAAACGCGGATTTCATACGTGATCGAATATTGCGCGCGCACAAAAAATCTCGGCAACCTAAGTTATGCAAACGCTTTCGCGCGGCAGCCGGGTATTTTCTTGTTGGAAATTTTGCGACTTTCCAAGGTATTTAGTTTGACTATAAAAGCGATGAGTGTATAACAGCAACATCGATATAGTACTTTTCGGCCTCATCAGCCACCTTTATCGCAAAGGATGATGGTCGGCAGCCGGGTACAGAAATTATATTTAATTACTATCTATCGATTAAATAGAAAATTTGGCAAAAAAGCGATGGGTGGAGGGTGGCACATATTTTCAATTGTTAATAATTTTTTATAACGTAAAACGCAAACGATATTGGGGCGGCTGCCGACGGATTACTATTGTACAATATATTACCCGACGTTTTCATGAAAATTTAGCCATATTAGTGATCGACCCAATCTTTTGCAGTGGGCTCCTAAACTATTATGTACGTTGACATTAAATTCATCAAAAATGCAATTATTCATTTAAAACAGTTTTTCGTATTACAATAAGTAGATTTTGTAAAAGACCTTTAAACTCCCTATTTGCATTGTTGCATACTTAGCGCAAGGTTGTTTACCAAAAAAATAGTAAAATCTTGTATGAAACTAACCTGCAGATGATGTAGAAGCGCTGCAATGGGTGAGCGTAGAACTGTAGACAAAATTATTAACTTTGGATCCCATCAGACCAATTTGATCACCATCAAGCTCCCCATTTGGCCCAGGACTGACTACCGACATTGACATTTGACCAGCCTGGTCGTTCTGTTGAATAACAGTCGCAACTACCGGTATCTTAATTTGAACAGTGCTCCCGGTTTGCTTGCCATCTGGAACAGGAATATTTTAGTTTATAATTTTTGTTATTTGTTCAAGAGACGCACATGGAGTAGCCTTTTCACCTTTCGCCATTATAGAAATGTGGCTGTGCTTTCTCAAATCTTCGGCGGAGGCGGGTACCAGCATCTGCTTATCACCGGCCGGCAAAACCCTTACCAATACCGGTATGCCGGTTACTGGACGCAGAAGAGCAAATGGAGTTTGATTTGATTCTACTGCAAGTCTCATGGCTTCAGTTTTTATCGGCTCAACGATTATGGAGTTTGTATAGCTGCAATACGATTTAATAGTTAGTGTATAAATTTCATAATATATTCTTTAATTTAAACAGCATTTCCTAGACCGCTCCTTTTCAAACCACTTGCGATTAAACCCACGAGTTCGAGAAATGTATATTTTTAACCCCGCGAATAGCAAACGTCGTCTTGCTCTAATTAGGTACAAACAAAATATATTTTCTGCAAACATGATAAAGATCATGTACGCCACAAATTAAAAGTATTCCAGTATATACTCTATCTCTTCAATCTCATTCAACAGAATTAAAAAGTAGTTTCTAAAAAAATGAGATAACTCTCGGCAGTTCGACAAGTCCATTCTGCAAATCAAGGGGATTACAGCGCCCTTTCACGGGACAATATGTACTGCAGACTCGCAGAGCCAGACTTACAAACCATAACTACTAAGATAATGTTTTAAGTTTTCTACAAGCAACTAAATTGCGCATTTTTAAAATAGTGTTAATATTTATATAAGTGTTCTTTATACTAAGAACACTACCAGCAAGGGAAGCTCTCCTTAAAAGGCATAAAAGAAAACTATATCTGCTAGGATAACCTGGTCAAAGAATGAACCACTGAGACAAGGAGTCAGTGGGGCAAGGGTCAGATAGCATATTGGCTACCGTGATCAGGACTTGATACCGGTGGAAGCGAAAAAGAATGCTGTTGAGCACAAATTTCATGCAAATGACACCAAACCCATTTCCACGGATCTTAAAAGAAAGCCACACCACGCAGAACAGACAAAAAGAGAAAAATGATTGTTCTGTTGAGTCTATTTAAAATCAAATTAAGATCCTTTCTGTAAAACATATTTTATTTCCCAAAAACTGACATTTATCAAAATCACTGAATTCTATCAAAAAAATCATTAAGCTAGTTAACAACGTAAAACAAGTATATAGGCAATAGTCCAGTCGATGACAATGATTATCAGTTCTGCTTCCGGCAGCTGAGACTATCCTCAGTGTGGACGACCAAACTTTATTGCAGAAATTCATAGTGGAAAGAAATGTTCTCCGGATAAGAACACAAGTTTTAATTCGGAGGCATTCACTTTCTGGTAGTAATAGACTGTGAAACTCTACAGTCAGTAGAACGGCTCAGGGTTAAAATCCCAACAAAGGACCAGGCAGCCGGCTTATGGAGAAATGGGTTCCGGTTATTATGCCTGAATTTTTGGTATGTTGATGAAATTGACTTCCTTAACAATAGTGTCCATGGGCACAACTCAATTTTATGGCCAATTTTCAACATACAGGGTGATGAAGTTGAAAAATGGCAATTTTTTAAAACATATTAAAATGTAATTTTCTCAATATATTAAGGATTTTTTGCTGTAATAGTATTCTGATAACATCAAATAATATTGCTTTGTGTAGAAAAAGTATTATTTGATACAAGGTGATTTAAAAATCACCAAAAAAAAAAATATTGATGCTGTGTATTCTACTTTACAGTGGGAATATGAAAATATTAATATTTGGTCTGAATTAACTTTATTTAGACTTATTATAAGAAGGTATAAAAATATTTTATACAGGGTGAGTCAAAAAGTTGATTGACTCTGCAGGTTACTTTTAATTCAATTTTATATATTTTGTAATACAAGTCAGTAGTCGATATTGAACCATTTTTAAGAATATATACTTTATAAATTAAATACAGGGTGATTCAGAAGGTATATAGGGTAGAAAATTACGAAAATTTATTTTTTCTGCGAATCACCCTGTAATTTAATATTTCCTCCGTTAATTTCTCTAATTTTTTCTTATTGTCTTTGATTTGAGTTTGTTAGTCCCCTATAGAAGTTTTGCGAAGTTACTATGTTCAGTTTTTTTATATCGACTTTGTGATGACAAGTCTGTCACAATGTATACGCTTATTCGCTCCGTGCGCGACAGCAGCGCCAATTTGTTTTGGTATTAAAGGACTATTTCTGCCTATACTGACAAATACAGTTTTTAATAGAATTCTTAAATAAAAAGTATATATGTTAGTTTTAATAAAAGTATATGGATTTGTAAAACAAGTAAAACATTAATTTATTGTTATTATATATTTCTCCCGCTTAAATTGAAGAAAATTATGTATAATCAATAAAAATTAATAATAAAATATAGACAGGCAACAGTATTTACTGGAGAATGTATGAGAAGTTGCCTAAGTCTAATTAGTTGTTATTGAAGAATTAGCCTATTCTGTCAAAATAAAAAAATACCATTTAATAATAGCGTGAAGTTAAAATGTATAAAAAAGGATTGTTATTTATATTTTCATTTTTGTTCGAAAGAAAACATAGAATGAATGATTAAAACTGGTTTCCCATCAGTAAGTCACAAAATTGCATTCCAGCCACATATTATAATCAAAGCAAGAAATATTGAAATCTAGTCCTTGCTGAATGAACATTTAAGAATAAAGGGATATTAAAGAACATCGTAAAATGATAATTTATTGTTTATTTAAAACCTTTTAAGTTTCTGATCTCTACTATTTCCAGCATTACTGTTATTATCACAAAAATAAAGGTAATTTTTCTTCTTATTGTACACCAATCCATTAATTTCTTTGATTTAATTTCCACTTTTCTAGTGAAATTTTTTATATAAGTTTCACTGTTTTTTTTGCTAGTATTTGTACAATTTTCAACACAGCAACTCCTAGTTGCTTATTGTGTAGTTTTTACCTACTTTTTTGAAAAAAAAGTTAAATGTAGGTATACGTGTATTTGATATGCCAAAATTACAAAATATCGCCCTAAAATGCACGAATTATTCGCAGCTAGCGCTAGTATCGCTTTTGCTTCCCTTTCCATGACTTCGCACGGAGCGAATACCTGAGCTCATAAATATGTTTTTATTTTATTTAATCATTCAGGATTTATGTCATTCTAACGTTATTTGTTTAAGGAAATACAAATAATATGTAACATATAAACAAACAATGTATTAATATTATTAGTAAGCCAAATATCCGAAGATGCAAATATGAGTTCCCCCGTTTAGATTTTGTTCATATCTAGCATAACCCAAAAACCATAATACACTGGCCACATGAGCACATGTTCCTTAAGTTCTAGCTTCCGACTTGCAAGTACAATAATAGTGAAGTTCTAAAGGTTCCCAGGTAGCAATGAATCCTGGCTGTTGCTTGGCAAAATGTTGGTTCCATATTTGAAACTTGGACCAATATTAATGACCTGCAGCCAATATTGGCAAAAGAACTTTATGTTATGACTAAAAGATATTGCTTTATAATATTGCCCTTATATTAGTCCAACATATGGTTCTAACGTTTATATTGGCAACACCTATTTTCACAATATTGATCCAATATAATTTAGTATTTTTGTTCCAATGTGGGTGAGATATAGTAAATAACGGCAGTTTATTGGATTTTTAATGATTTTCTATTTAGGTTTAATATTTGTTTTATAGATAGGGCCAATCTTGAAGAATTATGTTCTCTAAATGATGAAAAAATAGCAGTTGCCCATATTGGTAACATAATTCAATTTTATATCAAAAAAATATTTGTTCAAAACATATGATTATTATCAGCCCAACATATTTTTCTAAAGTTCATAGTGGTAATGCCTATTTTTTCAATATTAATCCAATATACAGTATCACTTTTGTACCAATGTGGATAAAATATAGCAAATATTGGTAGTTTATTGTATTTTCTATGTAGGTTTAATCTTTGTTTAGTACATAGTGCCAATGTTGGAGAGCTATGTTCTGTATATAATGTAAATATTGGAGTAGGCTAAAGAATTTAATATTATATTAAAAAAATATTGATTCTAAACATAGGATTAATAACAGTCCAACATATTTTTCTAATGTTAATATCGGCAACGCCTATTTTTTCTATATTAATCCAATATAATTTATCATTTTTGTTCCAATGTGGGAGCAATATGGCAAATGATGTTAGTTTATTGGATTTTTATTGATTTTCTATTTAGGTTTAAACTATGTTTTGTTGATATTGCCAATGTTAGAGAGCTATGTTCTCTTAATGATGACAAAATAGCAGTAGCCTATATTGGCAACAGAATTCAGTCTGATATCAAAAAAATATTGATTTAAAACATATGAACAATATCAGCCCAACATATTTTTTTAATGTTCATATTGGCAGCGCCTATTTTTCTAATAATAATCCAATATAATTTACCATTTTTTTGCAATGTGGGTTCAATATAGCAAATAATGGTAGTTTTTTTATTGATTTTCTATCAAGGTTTTAAACTTAATTTTTTAGATAGTACCAATGTTGGAGAATTAGTTTCTTCTATCTCATATTGGACAAATAATTCAATCTTATATCCAAATATAGGATTAATATTAGCCGAACATGTATCTCTTATGTTCTTATTTGCAACGTTTTTTCCAATATGGATCCAATATAAGTTTTATTCCAATGTGGTACAATAATGGTACTTAATTGGATTTTTATTGACTTTTTTCTACACCCACGTGCATATTATCTATTTTCTACATAATTTACATGTGTAGGCCATATCAGTATGCTGAAGGGATTAATCGATTATTTTCCAAATTAAACATTTTAAAAAAGTCTGTTATGGCCAAGTGGTAATTGTTTGCAAAAAAAGATTTTGTTTCAATCCATTAAAAAATGCATTGTGGGACTTGTGGGTTGAGACGAGAAGTCAAATTTTGCATTTTTTTAGAACAACTAAAGAGTTAAATATTCAAATTATAAAAATATAAAGGTAATAATTTAATATGGAAATAGCTGATTTTTAGTTTATGGAAATTTTTATAATTACCTACTACCTATATTAGAAAACTATTAATTTTGCAAATAAATGCTAATATCAATATATACCCACGCATTTGACCACTACATCACAATATTTTACTAAAACCAAATAAATGTTCTGGACAATTATTATTGTATTAAAATTATTAGGTTTCGAACATTTTACTAGGCAAAAATGTATAAAAATAAACTAGCAGCTAGTCCCAGTTTAACCAGAGCTGTTATGAAACTACCTTATCCACCCCTCCGACCTAAGTCACGTGAGTGATCACGAGATCACAGGTCAAGCCACGCGCCATCCTGCCTCACTGTCACTGCCTCAGTCTTGTAATATTAATTAACAGATCTGTATGATATACGTACGTCTAGCAGCAGGACGCCTCCCGGATACTTGTTTTAATATAAGCTACGAATTTTGTTTAGTGAAAACTGTGCTTTTGAGTGAGGGATGTTTTTTCATAAAATGTAAGTACAATCTTTTTTTGCCAATTAACAAATAAGAATTCAAAGCTATGTATTTTGAAATGTTTGCCAATATTAGGCCATTTGTTTGCCTATATCTCAAACCAATATTGAATGAAATCGTTAATTATTTTAAACATGTGGCAATCCGGCAGTTTCAGTTTACGTTGTTAATGGTTGCGCGCACCTATTAAACCTGTTTTGCTAATTAAAAAAATATATTATAGTTTGAAATTATTGCCAATATTAGGCCAATTGCATGTCTATCTCAAGCCAATATTGATTCTAATCGTTGATCACTTGTACGGTACAAAAAAAACACCATGCGCTGTATGCATAAAGTTCATACAGTGCATAATTTGCACTGTAACATTTTGGTATATACCTACTTAATATTGTGGATTTCGAGTATGTAGTGTGTCAGTGTTGCCAGTCTAGTACAATTTTAAAAAATCTGATATTTGGTGCGCTCAAGGCAAAAGCTAGTAGGTATTTTTATTCCCAGCCTGTGCGTATGCCTTCATTTGGCTGGGTGTCTATTAGTGTACCTATTAGCTACACTTTTTTTTTATTTTTTTGCTTTTCTATGAATATAATCAGACTGTCACTGGTAAAACACATAACAGAAAAATATTCTGGCAACACTGAATAATTGTTTAAAGAAATAATATTTTCTATTACTAAGATAAAAGTTATTTTGTTTAAACATTTTTAAGAACCTCTCACATAACAACTGATATAGTCTTTTTACTATTAATTGAAATATGTAACACGCCATGATGTAAAATGCCGGATTACCGTTAAAGCTTTATATTTCCACACATTTTCTTTTAAATTTAAGGGGAGCTAATTTTTTGTTTTTTTTTTATTTAAAGAGTTTTCTGCATTATTGAGAAGTGCCTCTTCATCTGGATTTTGGATTAAAAGAAAAATGGTAAGTAGAAATCAATGTTTTTTGTTTATTAATAAACAACCGAATAAATCGACTGTATTTTGAAATATTTGCCAATATTAGGCCAATGTCATGATTGTCTTGGACCAATATTGATTCGAACCGACAACCTTAATAAATGTATAAAAATTAAAGTATGTATTATCAGAAAATACATACCTAGGTACCCTATGGTAATATTTAGGACAGTGATGCCACTTTCGGATTTTTCCATGAATCTCTGGATTTCCATAATCATCCAGGATTCTTGCCAAAAATATTTCCCAATTTTCATAAAATTACTATAGGTATTTTTTAAATTTTTTTTTATTTATTTCTAAACCTAAAATGTAATTCTAAAAATCTGATTTGTCATACCTAATCATTATAATGTCAAGGAAACATCGGTTGTGATTTCTGGGACATGGTCTTCAAACGAAGGATGAGGCAAAAGAACCGGAAAGACATATGGAATCAACTCCTGGTACATCCAACGATGAAAATGACACAGAAAGCATTGAGAACCTTAACTTCGATAAGAAATAAAATGGCGGGAATTAACATCTCTCGGGTGAATATCCATCACGTCAAGGGAACATCGGTTGTGATTTCTGGGACATTTACTAAAGACCAATTATGGATTGTACTCATCCAGGAATCGTGGGCCTACGGAAACTAAGTAAGAGGACTTGCATGTAAAGATGCAATGGAAATTTTATCACACTAGTCATGAACTATTCAGAACACGTATTATGGTAAGAAAAGTTATTAAAATGATACCGCCTTAGAAATTTCAATCTTTTGAGGACAGATTTTAACACATATACATGTATCGAGTTTTCATCTGATAGATTACAGTGTCTAAAAAACATTATTTGATTATCAGCCAGGAGAAAATAATAAAAATGTCATGTAAAAAAATACAAGTTTGGGTGGGGATACCACTTTATGCATTTACCCAAGTCGAAATGTTTGTGATTACTAATTACCCTTATAGTTACCTTCTGGCAAATTTTTAGTCTACCTTGAGTAATATTGCGAAATTTCCACTGGTTCTCCGGCTATGATAACATTTAGTTAACATTAAAAAAATTAAATGAATAAAACATGTCGCATGTTAAATTTTTAAATATACTTTACCTCATTTTTTCGGGAAGTTGTGATGCAACTGGTGGTGGAGTTAAAGGATTTACCATTTTATGAGTATACTGTTCATGTTGCCGCAAACCAACGCGTTTCGCAAATGATTTACCGCACACGTGACAAACGTATTTTGGTTTTTCAGTCTTTTGGTGTGCCTAGCAAAAAAGAAAATGTGTTATTTTGGTAGAATAGTCGTAAAAAGTGGAATATTTTTAATATTTTAATTTAAAAATTTCGTGACTAAATTATTAAGGTTTAGGGGGCGCTAAAATTAAAAGTACCGCAATCAAATTTCCCATAAAATTACATATTAAATTGTCTCATACTCTTTGTGTTTTCTCTAGTTAACTTGTATTATTAGTGTACCGGTTTTAAACACCCGAACATTTTAATAACTCGCCAATGACCATGGGTGATTGAGCTAGTCCATGTCGTTTCGCTGAATGAGATCCGGGGTGTATTTTAGGCTAAGTCGGGCTGATCCGAAGAGCGCGTAATTCGGAGTTTTGAGAGAGGAGTACAGTACCGGCGGACGATCACGAATCAGCTAAGAGCGACGTGGAAGCAACCGCTGACCAATAGTGACTGACACTTTTGTTTCTTATCTTTTCTTTAATTTTTTTTAAGACTTTGTTTATTAGTTGCTGACTGCAAATAATTGTTTTGTGTAATATAAATCTCTTGGAAAATTGTTGGTGTTGTTGTTTGTGCTCAGTTCGATGAATATCCTGTCTAAACCCACGACAGGTATCTGTATCTGTAACGTGTGAAGGGTGGGTTATCACCCACGGCACTTAGGCCTCATTAGTCCCATTGTGCATCCTCCTAAGATAGGCACCTCCTGGCTTGTAGCCAGCCTACAAATTTAATGTAGTTGACAAAGTCGCCAAGAGGTGCTTCTCTTATATCGGCCGGTGTTAGCCGATACTGACCAACACAAATCTAATAAATGAGAGCGTCGAGCAATGGATATGCTCGATGGTCTCATCTTCTTGTTCGCAACCTCTGCAGAGTGCGGGTTTTGACAGCCCCATGATATGGAGATGCTTCCGTACTTGGCAATGACTAGTCAGAATGCCTGTGACTAGGCGCATAGTCAAGTATTTGTTTGCTGCAGTGTTGTCAGGATAACTTAAGAGCACCCTGGCAACTCTGCAGTTTCTTGTTTCATCCCATCTTTCCTTGAATTTTAAAAAGGGAATGTTCTTTAATCAGGTCTGTCACTACCGATTTTGTCAGGTCAATAGAAGGGCCAGGTTCAAAAAGTATTTGGTTGGCTGCTTTCTTGGCGTGACCTTTGATCCATCTTAAGGTGACCACATTGTTGATGGATACTTGGGCCAAAGCTTCGTGACATTATAGTACTAACCCTGGATACATTCGTGGTCTGTTCAGGGTGAGTAGAGCTTGTCTGCTATCTGTATAGATGAGCATGTTTCTTCGAGTGATATTGTTTCTGGTTATTTCTTTTGCTGCTATGAGAATCCCCGTTATCTCTATCTGAACTACACTGGTACTATTGCTCACAGCCCGTTTTATGTCTGGGTTTAAGAATCTGGAGTATATTCCACATCCTGAGCCTTGTTTTGTTTTAGAACCGTCGGTGTAGATATGAATCATACCTGCCACTTCTGGATCTTCTATTTGTTCTATTATAACTTTATATGGCTTATGGTGAGATGGAGTCCATGTTCGCTTGAAGCAGTGGGAGCGTATCGAGCTCCTTCTGGCAAAAGTGACGTCTCGCCTCACCAGATCCTACTTCAGGTTCTATTCCAACCGTGCGGAGGCGTCATTATCATCAGAGCAACCTGCTTCATGTAAATATCAAGGAGAGTGAGACTAAGAATGACTTCCATGGCTCTAGTCGGTGTTGTTTTCATGGCTCCTGTTATGTTGAGACATGCTGTTCTTTGATTTTGTTTTAGTTTACGGATAGCTGTTAATTTTGGGGTTTTCGGTACCCAGACAACTGCACCATATGTTAGCATATGTCTTATGATAGCCGTGTAAGTCCATGCGACGAATTTGGGGGAGAAACCCCAGGTGCGCCCCACGGTTGGGCGGCATTGTTCATAAGCAATGTATGCTCTTTTAACTCTGTTTTCTAAATGCGAGTTCCATGTTAACTTTTTAAAGGTGAGACCTAGATACTTCACATCTGTTGCAAAGTTTAGTTTTGTGTTTAGGAGTTCTGGAGGTTTTAATTTCATTTTCATCCTTTTCCTTGTGAAATGGACCATTTCTCTCTTGTTAGGATTAATAGACAGTGAATGGTCCTTGCACCACTGTTCTATAATTTTTAGAGCTACTTGCATTCTTTCACAGAGTATGTTCTCAAAATTTCCTGTTCGTAGAATGACCAGGTCATTTGCATATACTATTGTGTAGTGACTGTCATTATTGAGGCGACTGACGAGGGTGTCGAGGACCATATTCCACAGTAGAGGTGATAAGCACCCCCTCCCTGTGGACATCCCCTCGCAACCAAGCCTCATATTCACATCTTCTACACTTATGTTTACTGCTAGCTTTGAGAGCATGTTATGTATCCACCCACTAACCATTTGTGGAACATTCCTGTTGGTTAGTGAGTGCATTATCTTTGGGAAGGTGGCTTTATCAAAAGCACCTTCTATGTCTATGAAAACACCCAAAACGGGGATCTTTCTATCCGGCCAGCAATTAGATGAAGGGCTGAACTAGTAGATTTGCCTGGGGTGTACGCATGTTGGTTTGGATGTAGTGGTGTTGTTCTAATCACCGCATCCCTTATGTACATTTCGCATAGCCTTTCCAATGGCTTCATGGAGAACGATGTCAGACTAATTGGCCGGTATGTTTTTGGGACAGTTTAATCCATCCTTCCAGATTTGGGTATAAATACCATTTTTACCTCTCTCCGTTTTTTGGGGATATACCTCAGAGCCAACGAGAATCTTAATATACCCACCAGGTGCGGTGTGAGTTCTTCCAGACCCCACTGAAGTAGGGCTGGATAGATACCGTCAGGTCCTGGCGATTTAAATGGAGAGAAGCTGGATATTGCCCTTCTAATTTTTCATCGTCTACAATTTGTTTGCCAATCATAGACAGATGGATTGTATTCTTTCTCTGTCCAGTCGGCCACGTCTGAGATGACCGAGTCAGAGAAGTGTGTTGACAGCAGAAGTTTGATGCTATCTTCGAGGTTGGCAGTTATCGTGCCATCCTCTTTGATTAGCGCACCAATGCTTCGGTGTGGATCTTTTGAGAGAGCTTTTTGAAACCTCTCTGCCTGCGGGAAATCTTTAATTTCTTCGCAGTAGGATTTCCATGCATCTCTGTTTTTATCTGACATTTTTGTATTCTCTGAGGGGAGATTTGTAAGTATCCCAGCCCTCTTTGAGTTTTGTGGTTCTTGCTTTATTAAAGGATTTCCTGGTCATCTTCCTGAGGTTATTCAACTCGTGGCACCACCATGCGGTAGTCGTCTGATCGTGTTGGACCAGCATCAGGGGACAGTATTTCTTATAGGCATTGTTTATTGTGCTTTGGATAGTGTTCAAGTACTTCTCCAAAGCATAGATTGCTCTGTCCGTCTTCCTAGGGCTCCGAGATAGCGTGGAGGTCGGCAATATCAAGTTTATTTTGAATTTTAACCAGCGGTGGTCTGACATCGAAATGTTATCAGACACATGCCAGTTTAGAATTGATTTATAGATACCAGTTGAGGATAAAGTGATATCTATTAAGGTTTGACTACGAGAGCTTCAAAATGTTGGTGTAGTACCTTTATTTAAAATACAAAGATTTTTGAAAATTATATAGTCATAAAGTGACTACCACCCAGCAAAGAAATGGAGGATCTGATTGCATACTGCCTGGAACAGAAGTTGGAGCTGGTAATAGGTTGCAACTCAAACGCTCATCACTTTAGTTGTGGCAGTAAGGATAACCCACGACAGGTATTTACGAATTATGAGTAGCAAGAAGTCGCTGTGCAGGATGATGCATGTATGCCATTTGAGAATATGATAATAAAGGTGCCCCTCATACATTTTTACCGGGCTAGCCTGTTACGACTCCCTTAATAACCATAAAAGGAATTAAAGAAGACCATGGTAGTTTAAAGGAGACCGAGGGGTGTCGTAAAAGAAGATAAATATCACCAGGCCAACTTGAAGGAAGCGAGACTCCCATATGACCTCTAAAGGCAAGATTTAATTAGCTCATTTCACTCTTCAAATTTACTTTTGACAAAAGAGGAGAGGCCAGATGTGAGTCAGGTGGAACACTTCGCGTTGAGTTCTGGACTAAATCGATAAACTTTCACAAAAAGCATAGCGTGAAGGGCCCCTTTTAAAGTAGGCGAACCTCACCAGCATATCGAGTGTTCTGCGTACAGGGGAACTGTCTCTAGTCCTGGCCACGATTCGTCCTAGAAAATCGTAGAGCGAAACTAAAAAAAAGTGTAAATCTTCATCCCCATCGGAGTGCTCCAGTTTCAACCGGCTACCACGAAAAAAGATAAGTGTCATCCGACAACTATTATTTTCACCAAGAACATTTTAAAAAATTCTTAATTGTTGGCCAAAATTATCTCGTCATTAAATTAGCTTCTTGTCTATAACTTGATTTGGCTTTTATTATGGTAACACACCCACCGATACTCAATGATAGTTGTTTGAAACAGGGGTCGGTAGCCTTTTTAGGATCGTGGGCCACTTTCAAAAAAAATATCTTTAGTAGGGTCGCACAGTAAAAAAACAAACATTCATTATTAAAAAAAAGGCAGTAACAAATCCGTAAATGTACATAACAGTTACGGAGTTGCTACTGTTCATATCTAAATTCCAGGGCAACATCGAAACCACCAAGAACTCTAGCGGAGTTATAACCTAACTTCGATTTTCGTTCAAAGGACGACTCAGCTGTGGTCTGTTGAACCTTAGAATGTTTTATTAATATTGTCATCGGTCAACCTCTTGTTCTTCACTTTCGACTGATAACATTCATTCTTGAACCTCTAACCGGACACAATGTGACAAACTACTTCAAGATAAACGAATATCGAATTTGAAGTATAACTGATCTAGAGTTCCAGGTGGTTCCAGCGTTTTGCAGATTCTAACTTAATGTAATTATTCATTATTAATTGGCGGGCAGCGCAAAGAGTTACGGCAGGGCGCGGGTTGCCGATACCTGTTTTAAAGTAACGATGACAGCAAATAATCATTATAGTCAAGCCAACAGTTGTAGTTAAGGTGAAGGTAAGACAGAATTAAAAATTGTTTGGAAAGTTACTAGATTTAAAAGTGTCGCACTTTTTTCGCGCATGAGTAATGCGAAATTGTCGAATAACTGGAAAGGTCTATTCGATATTCCAAAAACCTGTCAAAATGCTGCCTTTGGGCATTGATATGCAACTTTGTGAGCCTGTTAGTTTTGATAGCTTCAATGATATAATCTATAGTCTATAGATTGCTCAAAGAGGGCCGCATTAATCAGAATTGTTAACAGAAAGTAATTATTTGTAACCTATACATTTTCCGACTGGTTTATGGCGCGGACAAAACGTAGGGTTATTTAGACAGTATGAAGGCGAGTGTATCTTAGATAATTATAAACATACTTACTTTAAGTTTATGACACATGAGATTCGACATCTGGTTGAAGCCATTCCCGCAAATATCACACTTATAGGGTCTTTCATTAGTATGCGTAAAAATATGATTACGTAAGTTTCCTAAAAATTTAATTAATTTATACTTATCTTTAATACGAGGATTAAAAATATAGAGGCGCAAACAAAGTATGATAGGGGATTTTTAATTTTGGAGTTTATCCTTACCTTTTTGATGAAACGCTTTAGTACATAAGTGACATCTATGTGGTTTAAGACCAGTGTGGGTTTTCCTATGAGATATGAGGGTGGAGACACGGTTAAAGGTTTTCTGGCAAATTTCGCAAATGTAAGGTCTTTCAGTTGAATGGATTGCTCGGTGTTGGGACAGGGTCGACATCTGGCGGAAGGCTAAAAGGAATTGGTCAGGATGTTGATAGGAAAGGTTAATAATTGGATAGGTAATTGGTGTTTGTAAAAAAATCAAACAAATATCAATCGCGAAAAGTGTTTCTTGTCTATAAAATCAAACACATTTCCAATGAATATACAGTATGAAGAATCAATGATCTTTCCAGTATTTTAGCGTGTATTTTTATTATTAAGAGAATTACTTTCATATTATCATATCTCTTATATTAACATTAATCATAAATATCAGCATCCAACGTTATCTGGTTAATCCAGAAATAATTTTTTAGCAACTTTTATGACAGTACGTCAATGGCACTGCATTAGGAATTCCAACACCCTGTCAAAATGCTGCCTGTGGGTAATTACTACGATTGGGCGATTATAAAAATAAATCTATTATTTCAAATAATCGATTAGCGATTATTTTCGATTATTCGGAAAGTGTGTATTGGTTTTTTAAAGGAAGGAACCTACAAAATGGAATTGTAGCTACCCATCATAATAATGATGTATTTTAGGATTTTTAAATTTTTACATTTCAAGGGGGGAAACAGAGGCGTGAAAGTTTGTAGATATAAAAGCAAATTTTTTAATGGTAGGATTGAAAATTTGAATTACTTCTCATAAATAATGACGTGTTTCAGGGTTTCGGATATTCGCATTTTAAGGAATGGTGGAATAAAAATAAATAAAAAATAATTTAAAAAATAAAAATTAATAAAAAGAAACAAAATAAATAAAAATAAATAAAAATAAATAAAAATAAATAAAAATAAATAAAAATAAAAAAATAAATAAAAATAAATAAAAATAAATAAAAATAAATAAAAATAAATAAAAATAAAGAAAAATAAATAAAAATAAATAAAAATAAATAAGAATAAATAAAAATAAATAAAAATAAATAAAAATAAATCATCAAAATCATCAAAAATCATAAAAAATCATAAAAAAAAATCATAAAAAAATCATAAAAAATCATAAAAATCATAAAAAATCATAAAAAATCATAAAAAATCATAAAAAATCATAAAAAATCATAAAAAATCATAAAAAATCATAAAAAATCATAAAAAATCATAAAAAATCATAAAAAATCATAAAAAATCATAAAAAATCATAAAAAATCATAAAAAATCATAAAAAATCATAAAAATCATAAATATTCATAAAAAATCATAAAAAATCATAAAAAAAATCATGAAAAATCATAAAAAATCATAAAAAAATTATAAAAAATCATAAAAAATCATAAAAAATCATAAAAAATCATAAAAAATCATAAAAAATCATAAAAAATCATAAAAAATCATAAAAAATCATAAAAAATCATAAAAAATCATAAAAAATCATAAAAAATCATAAAAAATCATAAAAAATCATAAAAAATCATAAAAAAATCATAAAAAATCATAAAAAATCATAAAAAATCATAAAAAATCATAAAAAATCATAAAAAATCATAAAAAAATCATAAAAAATCATAAAAAATCATAAAAAATCAACAAAAATCATCAAAAACATTTGAAACAGTGTTTAGAACAACAAATCAAACAAGGATTGAAGTTTAAGTGAGTGCTGTAAATAATAGTTACTAATCGTATATGCTATTAGAATACCGTACTGTATTCACGGCTATTAAATATTTTTTGTATTTTTTTCTATTTTTTTCTATTTTTTTCTATTTTTTTTTATTTTTTTTATTTTCTTGTATTTTTTTGGTATTTTTTTGAATTTTTTAAATTTAAAAAAAGAACCCTTTCTATTTTAAAATTTAAACACTAAACTAGTAGAATTTATTATGAAGTAGTAAAATATTTATTGTTTTTACTTAAAAAATATTTACCTTTTCCACATGTAATGCATTGAAATTTTCTTTCATCAGTATGAGTCGGCAAATGGCGCATTAAAGTGTATTGATGAGTAAATACTTTTTGGCCTAAAATAAAGTTAAAAGTTAAAACATATAAGACACTAATTTGTATGATCAGATAAATGTTCTAGAGCTTCAGGAGTATAATGTCATTAATTTAGCAACTTAGCTTGTTAGAGCTTTATTATTTACTAAAGTTAATTTGTTTTTAGCTAATAATAAATTACTTACATATTCCACATACCCACATCTTCACGTGTTTACCATTCTGTAGTTTGTACCTTACAAAATGGGATGTACTATTTCCATTCATATCAGGACCTTGGTCTTTTAGCAAAGAAATATTTAGTTCTTCCGAGTCTTTATCATCAACATTATTTGATTCATTTTCAATAGTAGGTTGTTCTGAAACTTGGTCACGCATCTGTTGGGACATATCCATTTCAGGAGTGAATGGTAAATCGTTGGATCCCGAATCAAGATTATTTGTAATATTATCCAGATGTGCAAATAGAAAAATATCATACTCGTCTTTTAATTCCTCTCTTTTAATTGTACTAAAACAAACAAAAATTGGATGAAATTATAAATTCTATAATTTCTATTGTACTGTAAACCATTGGTAATGTTTAAAGGTATAATACAGCATTATCTAATCTTTCATCTGCAGAATACATGCTAGTGGTTGCTTTTATTAGATTCGGATTTATGTTTTAAAGAGCAAGTCGTAATATTTTTTTTTAATTTTTTCTTTAGGATTCGATTTTAATAACTGGCATTACATTTTACGTCTTCTTCCATGAACTGAAGAAAGCAAGAAATACTTGAATGAAACAGCTATAGGAGTCTATCAAGACAAATCGTTCTCAAAACAGTCTTAAAATGGATGCTGCTGGGAGTATATTGTTTGGTTTGAATCAAAGATATCGGATAATAGATACGTCTTGTATACATTACACTTGTCCGCAACATCTTCTTGTACATACGCTCTTCCTATGTTGTCAGATCTCTTTCATCAAATATTAAGCATTAAAGTTTTATTAAAAAAATTACTCTTCCCTTTAATATAATCTAATAAAAAAAGGAAATAAAGAATTGAAACCATCAATATGAGTTTTTTAATAATTACAATCACTTAAGACTTTTATTTAGCTATTTTTACGTGTGTGTATCATATGGGCATATTAAACATTCTGGTATATATCCTTTAAGTTTGGCAACCTAAGACATTTTGCTGATGTTGTCAAAGTGACAGATCAAGTTTTATTGTGATTTTTTGGGTTTTTTTGTAGTTTTCAAGAATAATTTAAACCCTGAACTTTTTAATAAGGAATTTTACGATGGAGAAGGAAATGTGTAGCTTGCCGAAATACGAAGAATAAGAATGTTATTCGGTCATTTCATATGTAAGATTATGTTAGCATAAACGTAGGCATATACAGGGAATAAGGCTTAATTCATTTAACATTGTTAAGGCATTTAGCACTAGCGTTGTTTATTTAAATAATAATGTTCTATATATTCTGATCAGGTTTCCTAGAGAAATTATTCAACGTAGAATTTGGTTGTAAAATTTATGCTTGGTGGAGGAAGACATTATAAAAATGAAAGAAGCCTAAGTATGTTCTGAAAATTTAAGTGATAGACACATCTTAAAACATAATGCTATACCTATCAAGTAAGTACAATACTTATTATGGGTATTTTTATAATATGTAAGCTCTAAAATTATACATAAATCACATTTTACAGAATGTTTTGGAGAGGTAGTTGAAGAGGCGAAAAATGAAGAAAAAATGCCTGCATTATCACATAGGTAACTTAATCATTTATATTGAGAAAAGCATACAATTAAATAAAAAAAAATTCTAGTTTTTTGAAGAATAAAGATCCGTGCTCATCTAGTACTCTTACAGTTCCTAGTGTATCTGGATCACCACTTCCTAAAAGGTAACATTGTAATTGTGTATGTTATATAAATTATTGGATTCTTTTTTATGTAAATAACTTATTTAAGAAAATTATCACTGCTTAAGTCAATGCTGAATTAAATATAAAATATTTTAGATATTCAAATCTTCTGTGTACCTAAAAAGCATTTTATTTCAGAATCAGTAATTTTTAATTTTAATTATTTGTTTTTATATTTTTTTTTTGTCTATTTTTAAGAAACTGGATCCATAAAATGCTCTTATTATTATTATTCTTTATGTAAAGACAATAGTTTATAGTAACTGCATTGAACAAAAGTAAAGAGATAGTCAAATGATTCACAGGTTATTGTTCGGACAATGGCCTAGTAATTAATCCCTAAAAAAATTTTTTCTTGACAAGCTAAAATGTATTTTAGCCTTGTCCAGATATTATAAAATCGTTGCTGATTATTCTCCTAAATGAGTTATTATATCATTATACAAATAAAAATAGGTGTCGTGACATGCAACCCAAATGGTATGTAATGGAAAGTTCCTATTTGTATATTTATGTGTCTGAAATAAAATTGTTTTATTGTTTTTAATAAGTTTTTATTTCATAAAAAAGGTAGTCCGGAATATAATTATTTTTTTTTTTCGACTTGTAGAAAAGGATTCCTGACAATACCCATGTAAAAATTATAATAAATGGCTTTATATTTTTATTTGCTCTTCATGTATTTAAAAAAAAGAGATAATAAAATACTAACAAAAATGTTCTTCCACTTTGAGCTACCTACTATATAAAACGACTTTTTGAATGCCCTGTATTAATTGAATGTTTTCTTTAAATTTACCTTTGATTCCAAAGACCCATAGGTAATTGATGTGGTCATTAAATCATTTTTATTAAAAATAAATGTAAACCCTCACGAAACAATACGTCTATGTGCGATGTACGATTCCCCATTCCCCGTCTGGTATATCATGCGGACAGAAGGTGTATTGGTTATACAGTGTGAAGGGCGAGTCTATCTTAGATAATATGATGTCTACTTAGGCAGAGACAATCCAGCGAGACGTGTAACTCAATGTATTTTTTTTGTTCGGTAAAAGTTATTTGGGCGATTGTAACCACAACCAGTCTATGATGGCGCCACTAGTAAATAGCGGGAAAATTAAAAATGCTTTAGGGCGGGAAATTCAAACATGGATTCAGAAATAAAGTTTTTCTATACAAATTTACAGGAGAAACAAAAACTATTGTTTCACTGTATATTAAAAAAATATAAAAGCTTCCAATAACATCAAATTTTTATCACATAAATAATCATTTTAATAAAGGAAGTTTTAATCAGTTTAATATAAACAGTGAACATAGTTTTTATTACTCTTGTAAATTTCGCTAAAAAAAAACTTGAAAATTCTATTGATTATTAAATATTTAAACTTGGAAGAATAATACACCAAACTCTTTTTCTATAAATTATATTTTTGTAAGGTACAGAAAAACAAACTACAATTGCTTCGTTTAGAAAGTACCTCGTATCATTTTGTGACAAATTACAAAGAAAGTAACAGTTGTTATATATTCATAATATATTTAAAAACTAATGTAACAAATATTTTATAAAGTATAGTATCGATACCTTTTTGCCAGACTATCATAAGTGCCATTTGAACAAATGTCACTTATGTTAGTCTGGCAAAAAGGTATGGATATGTTATGACTGTTTATTTTAATATAAACCATGGAAACGAAACACACATACACTCAACAAAAATGTATAAGGCCCGAGTCAAGTAAGTTCCCATCCTGTAAACTGGATCGAAACCTGCAAACTCCTCTTATAGTAATCAAGATCAATAGATTTACATGCCATGCCTTCTAAAAGGGAATGAAGGATGACATACTATCATCATTTAAACAGGACATTGCTGAAGGCTTACCCCTGTTATTTCGTTTGTTTGTGTATCTTGTGTGTGTGCATTCCTGTTGTGTCCCCAGTCATGTAAAAGTTTTCCTAGTCTCCTAATTTGGTTACTAGGTGGACCTTCTCCAACTAGTAGTCTAATCTATTCGATCTGTTCGGAAGCAGGAGGTACTTTTCAAACATAGCAAATAATATTATTAATAATAAACACTATTTAAAGATAAATACATTTTTGTAATTTTTTTGTCATTGCCCCTTACCTTTCTCTTACACCACCAGGGTATACCTATTTTCCATATTCCCTTAATTATAGATTACCTTACAATGTTCGAATGAATATAACATTTTACTCATGAAAAATCTAATTTCATTTTTAACTCTTTTTCAATTTAATTTGAAACAATAATTGGTACCTATATTACAATTTATTATCAAAGAAAATTTCTAATAAAGTTATAGCAAATCCTACTTAAACTACTGGTTGTTCTGCAGGATAAATTAACTTTTCTTGAGATTGATCTCTCTATAAAATCCAAAACCGACCTGATGTCCCCAAATTTATTTTCCAATGCATCCTGATTTAAAATTCTGCCCTTCTGTGATTCAATTTTTTTTTTCTTCCTTTAGAGTGGCTGTTAGAGGTAGGTGTATGTAAGAAATAGCTAATCTCTAATCATTTCAAAAGTCCTTTGCCAATACTACATGTGCAGATTTTTTACTCAGCATACATTTTACTTTTCTAGTAGATAGGAACTTTGTGCAGCCATTAAAGCTGTCCAGACATTCATCTACCTACTTAATGAACACAAGTAGCTGTAATAATGGATCTCTGTTCCAATTCACCTAAAATAATTATAGTCATTGTGTAATATATTATTAAACACACACATTATAGACATATACATAATAAATTGGAAATTACTTACGTCTAGAAAGAAATGTGTACAAAAACGCGAGTTTGGTTCCAGAAATTGCTTCATGCAAAAAATAATATGCAAAAATAAACACTCCCCCCCAAAGAAAATTAATTAAACAACAAAATCAGACTAAAAGAAATATACGGGGCCCAAATTAAATTAATTTTAATAAAATGCACATGTTCATAACAACATTCATAACATTGTCAGTTGTCAGTTTTAATACTTTTAATCGATATTTCGACGTCAAAAAACCAGCAACACCAGCGCCCTCTGAAAATGGTGTTAGTTTTATTGGAGAAAGATAGACATATGTAAAGATCAATGTAAAAGAAAAAGAGGGTCATATATGTAATTTAAATGGACCACCGAACATATTTTCCTATTAAGTTACACGTCTCTGTTGTCTCTGACTTAGGGCACTTAGAGCATATAAGACTAGAGGTGTTACTCAAATGGGTTTATTATGTGTTAGGTACACGACGCATTATGATTGGCGAGTTGGGAACACGAAGATTTATGATTGGTGAGTTAGGAATACGACGATTTATGATTGACGAATTTAAATAGCGCGCGTATTTGTGATAAATGACATTTCATTTGACGTCTTGTTTTCGTTTTTAAAAAGATCGTTTTTTGTGACTTCCAAAGACAATTTGGCGACGTGTCTCTTTGATAAACTTTTTAAGTGTATTTTTATTATAAAATAAGTGCTAATCATGCCGAAAGCTTGTATAGTTTGCAATAATACATTCTTAAAAGGAGGGGTTCTCAAACTTTTTTGGTGACGGAA